TTCTGAGGGGTTATGAAACCGGTTGTGCATATGTGAGCTTTAGAGCAATAAGATCTATTTATTTGTGTCCTTGTGTATTCTGCATTCAGGTATCCCCAGCATCATCCCATCAACGAATCGTCCGGCTCCCTCTGCTGTCCCTCAGATGCCGTCCAATCGTACTATCACGACCTGCAATTCGAGCAGTCCGCCCAACTAGTCGACACGTTCTACCACTCCTCTCAGCTGACCTTCTCACAGACCCCTTATTTGGCCTTTCCATCTGCCGATCTCCAGGCCTATCAATCATTTCAACCGGCTCAAACGCAACAGGTGCCCCCGCATCACAGCCAACAGGGCTCCTCTCGATCGCAGCCGCCGCCTCAGCCCTCCTCTCAGACCCATTCCAGCCTGGATCAGGAAGCCATCTGCTTGGCTGACTACGCCGCGGGTCAGCAGCTCTGTGTTCTTTCTGAATTCGCCGAGCAGCCGAATGCCGCTTCAATGCTGCTTGATGTCACGGGAGCCGAACTCTTGACCTACGAGGCCTGCCTTTCCGGTGGCCTGAACGTTGGACAAGCTGACACTACCGGTCTGCTTGCTATGACCACGGCAACAGCCTCGGTTGGAGGGACTACCACGAATGGGTCACCCACGTCGACAGACGCCTCGGCTACGGCACCGACACCGACACATGCGCATGCAACGGCACTAGCACCGGCCTCGACTCTGACATCGGCTCCGACACCGGCCCCAGCACCAGCACCAGCTCCGGCGCCGGCCTCGGCACAGGCATCAACATCTGCTCTGGCACCAGCATCTGTATCAACCTCAACACCAGCACCAACGATGACTGTGACAATAAAGGATGTGGAAACTATCGGCCCCATCCAGACTTCAAGCAGCCAGGACCATCAGGAGTCGATTCGCCACCGATACGAATATCTGCTCGACCATGCAAACGTTGGCCAGACTTGCGCTACCGACTTATGTCATCCATCGGAGGAGTTGAGTCTCAATCTGCTGGCTCGGTCAGTCCCTTTCACCACGAATCCAGACTTCGGCAATTCCGACCCTTCAGCCGACAGGCTTTCTGCCATTAACGAGACTTTTGCTGTGACCCAAGCCCATGAGGCAGCACTTGCAACTGCTGTATGCTACCCAACCAGTAGCGACAACGAGCTGTCGGGCCACTATTGGCAGGTGGGCCAAGCTCAGCAACTCCAGCAACACTTGCACCAACAGCAATTACGTCATCATAATCAGCCCCGCCATCATCATAGTCATCAGCATCACCATCATCACGCTCACACGGATCAGCATCACCAAGACACACAAGATTTACAGCAACAACAACAACAACGACAACAAATGCAGCAACAAACAAACTCGAGCGAGACGAGGCAACAACCGGCAACACTATCCAGACATAGTCTGCTTGATCAGACCTATCAGCCGGTCTTGCAAGAAGTCGTCAACCTTCCGGTCGACTTATTTACTGCGCATCGCGAGACGGTCGTCAATTTGTTGGAAGTCTCCCAGTCAGTTGATGTGCCAGAGAAGAAGGCAGGAGACTCGGGTGAGGTTGAGCAAATGCCTGTAGAATGTGTGTATTCGATCAAAAGAGGTGATGGGATAGAAGAAGAAGAGGCAGACGAGGGGGAGGACGACGACGAAGAAGAGGGCGAAGAAGATGATGAGGAAGAAGGTGAAGAAGAGGGCTTGGAGACTGCAGCAAAATCACTTCTCAAGATTGAGCTGGCTGAGCAACATAATGAAACACAATCACAAGAGAACACTTCTGGTACCGGGCTATCTGACAGTCTAAACTTGCGAAAGGGGAGATTAAATTCGACGGATTCTGGAATCAAAGGCGTAAAGAGTCACATGGAGAGGAGAAATATTGCGATCAAGACCAGATCCTCTGGGGAGCAAAGGTTTATCGGACAGATTGTGGAGACGGAAACGAGGACACAAGGTGGGTGCCTTGACAGCATGATTATCCATACACTGCCGTTTTAAAAACTTCAGATAGAGCCAATCGGCAAATAAACAATCAAATGAAAGTTAAACCTTATAGCTACATGAATACTCGGTCTCACGGTAACGGTCGGCATCTTGTTGTGGATACTTTTATTCCGTATGAAAGTACATGATGAAGAGGTTCGTTGGTTGATCTCACCGGAAGACGACGGTCAATTCCTGATGTTTCGATTCAAATATAACCGGGTTATGCTGGAGTACCTTTCATTTCGTTTGAAGAGCCGAGTGGAAGGGATCCGTAAGTTGGTTCTATCGGAGGCTTTATGGGGGTTGCCTTGAAGCTGTAGTTGTAGATTTGGGTGAATAGATACTCGGCGCACGGCCCTGAGACCCCAATAGATCCTTGCTGAGCTTTCGTCCGTCAAGTGACGGACATCGTCAGAGCAGGACACCATGCTTTACGATAATTGGCCAAAAACATGAAGGCAAGAAAGGTAGCCGTCATCAAACCTAATTCCTTATTATATTCCAATTTGGTCCAATTAGACATCTCATTTTTTTGGTTGGGTATCCTATGCCTTGCCCCTATATTTGCTCATAGGTTAAGTTAAGTGGCTGCAGATGAAGCGTGAAATGGGTGTAATTGAAATCGAACAGCTGCATCGTCCCCTAAAACAATTCTACCTTTGATCCTGCAATGTTATCGTATGTGATTGCGTCCCATTTCACGCGTGTTATGCGAGTGCATTGCGATGTGAGAGTCAAAATTAAATTCCAGCCTAATTAAGCCTCCTCTTGCTCGGTGGTACTTCTTTCGTCCATCATATGACGGACATCGTCAGCGCTGGAACTTATTCCGACAGAATTCTCAGCCTTACACTAAGTCAACAAGACTGTCCTGCTCTAGTCTACATGTTATATATGCTCATAACAGAAAAGGAAAATATATAGAGTTAAAATCGTTTGGTTAGTTCTCCATTATATTAGTCATGGTACTTTTACTTTAGTGTGCATGTATTAACTTCTTTACGCAATACTGGTCCTAAATCAAAACATTTACAAAGGCATATGTTAGGCTCGAGTCATCATGTCTTTCCATGTGTCGTTAAAGCTTAATGACTCTAGACTGACGGATTATGAAGGGTGACTTCGTACATGTACAAGCTTATATCTCATTATCTAAGCCATAATTGCTTACTGACTCAGACAGTATTGATCATGCCTTTCCTTGGGTCATCAGACCTTGATGGTCCGAGATTGACGTAAGGATTTTGTAAGTATTCTGATTCAGGACCAGTATTACGCACACATACACTAAAGTATACGAACCTTGGCTAACATGAAAGAGAACTAACCAAACCATTGTAGATCTATATATTTTCTTCTTTTGGTTGGGTATATATTAAGTCTGGGAGACAGCAAGACAGTCTTTTTGATTTAGTGTGAACTCTAAAATTTTGTGGTAATGAGTTCCAGCTCTGACGATGCCCGTCATATGATGGATGAAAATCTAATTCGGTTTTATCCGAATCGAGGGAGGATGTCTGGTGGGCTGAGTCAACGCAAACATCGTAGTAAATTTAAACGGGTGCAGAACAACTGGAATCGGCCGTCGTCTTCCGATGAGATCTACCAACGGAACCCTCAAACGAAACCCAATTACTATTCGTATCTAGTCGCTACCTAACATTGATATTGGAGTAACTTTGCGAATGGAAAGGATTCGTAAGTTGGCCTGACTAAAGTCCATAGTGTGACGAAATATGCTAATTCAACAAGCCCGAAGATAAGAGGTCTATACTCCTACCTCATAGTTCAACATTTTTCGACTTATTCATACGCTTCATGATTTGGCTGGATATCCTATGCTTTCCCGACATGCCTTCTGAAGTATGAAGTAGCTGCAGAGGACGCGTGAAGTAGATGCAATTTTTACCGAACAGTCACATTCTCCCTTAAATCACTTATATATTTGTGATTCTGCAGTGATCGCGCATATGCTGTGTCCATGCAATACTGATGAGTAGGAATCCTTTTAACACCACACTTATGGGGTTAAAGTGGGAGTTATGTAATCTTTGATAATAAACGGTCTTGTATATGTGAATAATTGGGACCAAGAATTAAGGCGACTAACGAGGATCTTATTTGATTCCAATTATATACAATTATTTACAATTATTTTTTACTAGTGACAATAGTCTGGGAGGGAGACATCTATTTGGAGCAAAATAGACGGAGGGACCTCTGTGCTATAATAAGACTTATACTCACCCTAAGTTGGTTAGCAGATTTGAGAATAGTTAGTCGTCTTACTGCCGATTCCATTGTTAAATAATTCCCGAAGAATAACTCTCATGTACAAAAAACTGATACGAGTGAACATTTTCTTCTATTACAAGCAGCACAGGTCAGATTAGCCACAACCAATTTCGGAATACCATAGCTACAGGGTTAAAAGCCCCTCATACGACACTCGCTATCATGCACGCCTGGCTTGTAACATTCTATTTCAACACATATGGATTGAAATCGCGCTTGCGATAACCTGTATGTAATAAAACAACTTGAGTATGACACTAAAGCGAAGCATTCTTAAAATTAATATCTTGGTGGCGAAAAACCATGGTGTAAACGAAGATGATTCGTTTATCACTCTTCATAAAAAGCTGACATCATATATTTACTCCAAGACTGGGTAAACCTATTCAAGACTCACTGTAATGCCGAGTCGAGACTGGTAGACGTCTAAAGAAATCAGCCAAACTAGTCAGACTTTTACAAATAGTTGAAATAAAAATCTTGCATAGATTTATGACAAACTTAAGGCTGCCTAACGATGGGAAAAACCCTGCGAAATGCATTGTATTGAGCAAAATATTAGCTTACTATACTCATCATCGCAAGGTTAATATTTTACTCTGTGAATCTACACGCTTGTTGACAGCATTACGATGTTCATGTGTGCCTGCTGGTAAGGCGATGTTGAGAATTTTAAGGGAAAGACAAACGGAAGTTCAATACGAAATTCCAGCCTTTTCTTACCCTTGCATAATGGATAAAGACGCTACGAATCTGCTAGAAACAGACTAGACCAGTAAATCTAGGCCATAATCAGTCTATTAGTAGCAGTTAAACGAAATTGTTACTGGCCCGCCTGGTAAACTATAATAAATAAAAATGTCAGCATGTCTAAAATGAAGCAGAAAATTTGGAGCCGACTAAATATAAATATATAAATATGATAATAGTATAACATATCTTATATATATATATATATATGTGTGCTCAAGGACTCCCTTAGTAGATTGATATTGGCATAACTTTCATTTCGTTTGAGAAGACGTGTAGGGGATTGGTATATATAATATAAATAACACTAAATATAAATGATGATGAAAACATGCTAAATGCGAAGCATTAGGAAATTCCATTGAATCAACGGTTATTCAAGGGACTCCAATATGAAAACGCACAATTATGGCAGGGATTTTTTCTCCCTGCATTCGCATTTTCATGAGTGTACAGGTTATTCGGTCATAGACAGGTCATACGTTCATCTAGCTAATTGTTCGGCACTGTGCAGGAAGTAGGAGCTAGCACTACTTGTATTGTTGTTTACTAAACTAACATTCATTGACAATTCAATTAGATTTGCTCTTTTCGCGGTTGTCCTAGACGTCCATACATCTGCAGCGTTTTACAGTAAAAGCACTAGGACCAATTTGCACAACGAGCATGGATAAAAAAAACGGGTTTTTTCCTCAAATACTGCATACAACCTCTAGCCAAATTGCTCTGGGACTCTGTCTCTAAGACAACTGTTTCGCCTCTGTTGTTCAACGTCCTGGAAATAGTAATACGTCAACTGCGAGGTCAAGATTACAGTGTATTGCTGGTTGAAAGGTGCCTATGGGAAGTGGTTAATGCATTAACTTGTTTTCGCTAAGTCGCGGCGGGATGGTTTAACAATTTCTTAAACTAAGTACTTTAAGGTCAGTACTTCGCTCATATCTCGACCTACAGATTAGTATACTCGTTCAGAGTTCTAATTACCCTAGGTCGCATAAGGTGATCAAGATTGGACCACAGTTTCTACCTTGCCTGGGTCTCATCAGTCCCCCAATGGGAATCGAACCCAGGTACTGTTGCATAAAATATCGAATTGTTACCACTACGCCACATTGCCATGTTGACTCTCTGGGGTCACATGGCAGATATGAATTTTAAAGAAGGCCAGACCTTTTCCATATTATATTGTATAAAAGGGTAAGAAATAGGGTTAATAAACCTTATATATATATATATATATATGATCTACAAGTAGTTTGAAAAGCTAATTATAGAATAAATATAAGTAATGCCTTCAATCGCTTCAGCAAATACAGCTTTGCTTCATCGACAATCTCACCATAGAATGTGGTA